CAGGGCAGCGGCTGGGGGGCCCCCGGGTCGGCCTGGCCGGTGACAGCCCCTTGCTCCCCGCTTGGTGACTCTGCCCCATCCCAGGGCTCAGGGCCGCTGTCGCGGACCCTCACCCTTGTCCCCAAGAACACGATGGCCATGGCCCCGCAGCTCCCCTGCCTGCTGTCTGCCTGGCCCGGGAGCAGAAGGGGCAGTGGGGCAGACAGACAGACAGACAGAAAACACCCGCTTTAACGCACTCCACCTGGGCACGAGGTCCTGGCCCGCAGGACGTGCCGTGCTGGGCACTGCAGCGGGCAGAGCATGCCCCCGGCTTCGTGCCCAGACCTCAGCCCACCGGGCAGTGACAAACGCATCCGGAGAGCAGAGCCCCGGCTGCGGGTGGCGGGGAAGGAGCCCGAGCTGTGAGCACCATCTGCTCCCGCAGCGCCAGGCTGCGGGCTCTGAGCCTCCTGTGCCAGCCTCGGCTCCTCCTGAGCTCTCCTCCTCCAGGTCCTCGCTCTGTCCCATCCCTCTGTCCCGCTGCTCCGCTCCTCGGGGCAGCAGCGGGGAACTCTGAGCCCAGGGCAAACGCGCCCATCGCATGGTCCCTGCAGCGGTGACAGCGGGGCGAGGGTGGCAGGGTGGATGGGGATGGCAGGGTGCAGCCGACGGCCGGGAGAGCAGCTCATGCTGCTCCTCTCTCTCAGCCTGCACTGGAGGAGAAAAGCTCTGCCTTCACAAGCTGTGCGGGGCAGAGCCTCTGGGACTTTTCTAACACAGCAAGAATGATCCAAAGCCACCCGGGCGTGAGAGAGGGCACACGGGACCCCCCAGCTATTGCTAGAAGTGTTTCTGGGACACATCTCATCCCTGCCACGGCTGGGGACAGGTATCAAAGCGAGCCAGCAGTGCCCATAGCACTCATCTACATCAGGTCCCGACCCGCACCGGGGAGCAGGGTTCCCCCAGTAACAGCAGACAGGGTTTGGTGGCTGTTGTGGGATGACTGGTGAGCCTAGGGAGGGCCGAACTCCACCGCAGGGCTCTGAACCCCTCTGAGGGTGCTTTTGGTCCTCATTTGCACCTTGGAGACTTCACTGCTTAGGATGGTTTTCGGGTGGCCCAGGATTTCTGCAGCAGCAGCTGCTGCAGGTCCTGGAGCCACCAACAGATCTGAACCCAAAAAAGCTCAGGAAAGGCCGAATCCAGAGTTTGCATCTAAATCAACCTCTCCTGAGCACAGGCAGTGTTACAAGAGGACAGATATATTACAATAAAATCATTTCCAACTCGCTGAAACACGCTGTTCCACAGATGGACAAAATGTACCTAACCTTGAACAGGTTTTCCAAGCCAAAATCTAGCAAAGATCAAAAGTGAGCCCTTTCCAGCCTTAGCAACAACCCTTGACAAAAGGGACATTTGTGGCACAGGACCAATTCCTGCGTCACCCACCCTGGGGAGCAATCCCTCCCCGGGGAACGCTGCAGCAGAAGGAGCTGCCCCACTTCCACACAAACGCTCATCTCACCACCTAACCCCAGAAGATTGAATTACACTCATTTATCCTGGTAATAGATGGCACTTTGCCTGTGCTGGCCATGTCATCTCTCGTTAAAGCCCATCTCCTGCCGAAGCCGTTTCTGGACCCCTCACGCCCGGCGTCCTGCCGGAGCTGCCTCCTCCGAAGGATGCTGCTCGGCAGCCAGAACGGGAGCTGCGGGTGCTGGACCAGGCAGCACCTCCTCTCCCAGAGGCTCACGAGGACTCAGAACCTCTCTGTAGCTCTTTAACTCTGCCTCCGCGATAATGGATCGCTCCCAGCTCCCAGGGGCTCCGGAGGAAAGGGCTAATGCTCGTGTTTTCGAGTGTGCCCATGCCTCCCTTGCTACTGGAAGTATTAATGACAGCATCCATTAGCGGGGATGACAGATCCCCTTTCAGTACAACAGAAGGCTCTCGAGTGACTGTCAAAATACCCCATGAAGAAGGGAAAGAACAGGTCCCCGTGGGCCCTCTTCTAATTAAGGACGGCGAGCAGGCCTAAATATCCGATGCAAAGCGCACGCCCACGCTGCGGAGAAGTTCAGAGCCAGACGCAGGACCCGCGGCTCGGGGTCGTGGCTTGAAGATGCCCCCAGGGTCCCAGCGCAGCCCCAGGTGCGGTCTCACAGCATCCGACCCTCGGGCACAATTCGATCGTGGCGCTGAGGTGATAAGACAATCAGCAACACGCAAAACAGCATCCGAGAAGATTATTTCACCCAGTCCCCAACTGCGAACAAATACAGCGTCAGCACTGGCAGAAATTTCTCCGTTACTCTCTTACGTGTCTGTTTGCTGTGGACCAAACCAGGAGCTCTCCCTGGATATCACATTCCTAATTTTTTACAAAGGAGTCACGGGTTGGGCTGAGGCTGGATTCAAAAGAGCAAAGCACAGCATCTCCGTGTGTTCCCCGCCCCCAGCCCACCTCAGCCCGCAGAGCAGCAGCACGGCGTGCCTGCTCCCGGGCGAGGGCCCCACGGGCTTCAGCAGCAAACACAGGTCCCCACGCGTGACGGGGATCTGGGAGCAACGGAAGGGACGGACGCAAGGAAGGGAGAAGCTGACGTGAGCATCCAGGATCAGAGCAGATGTGGAGGTCGGGGTGGAAAGAGGGAAGCTGCAGGGCCGGAGCCAGCAGCGGAACTGGGGATCAAAGCTGTAGTTTACATCATAAATAATGAGTCAATAACGAATTAAATAATTCAAATCAGCTGAATTTTTACAAGATACCAGCTTTGCTCGGCTGCAGGGAAGGGAGCCGAAGGGGGACGCTGGCAGAAGTATTCCCGCAGCAGGGGATGGCAGCTCACCCTCCTCTCCCTCTGGCGCAGGTTGGTAACGGCAGAGCGGGCGGGCAGGAGCACCCCGGAGGAGCCTCCAGCCCCCCAGGAGGGCGGACGGCCAACACCGCACTCCCCGACCGCCTCAGGCTGCCTCCTCCTCATTGAAAATAACAAAACCCAACTTTCTCACGCTCTTTCCTATTTGTTTTAGAAGTGAGAAGACAAATTAATGGCAAAGAGCAAAGCCGCAGCCGGGCAGCGCCTTCGCGGGCAGCTCCCGGGGTGCAGGCAGAGCACTCAGCCTCAGAAATCAGAGCTGGCAGCGACGGAGCGAGACTCCCTTGCTTTAATTTGCTGCCGCTGGGTGTAGGAACAGCTTCGATGCTCCCTGCCTTTCACAAACCCTGGGCATTGGAACATGCTGGTGAAGAAATCAAACTGCAGAGACTCAGAAAAGTCAACTTATTAATTAGTGCGGTGCTGGCGTTGCCTGCGAGCCCACATGGCAGCACTGCCTGCAAACCAGACCGAGCTAAAAGCTGGTCCTTGTCCCAGAGCGCTTACGGCGTGAGCACAAGACAGACGCGAGAGAGGCGGGCGGAGAGTGAAGGCAGGAGAACAATGCGGCAGTGTTAGCGGAGAGGCCGTGGGTTCAGGACACCATTTGGGGCATGATTCTCGTTGACATCAAGTGATTTCATGTGACTGACTCACTTCAGGGCTGCCAGGACGAACCGCGCGGAGCAGCTTTCATGTCCACGAGTCTCACGCCCTTCTCCGCTCCGTCCCCGAGTCGCCTGTCCCCAACACGGCTCAGCCCTCTCCCACTGTGCACCATCATCGCTTCATGGCAGGGGTTCCCCCTCGCCCGGCCACGCAGTGCAATTAAGCCCCAGCCTCATTTAGGGGCTCATTTAAGCAGGTACTAAGGGCAGGCAGGCTGGGGGCTGCTCCCAGCGCCGGACCGGGAGGCTGGGATCCAGCCCTCCGACCCAAGCAAGATAAAAACTGAGGAGGATTTGGGATGGGCTCTCCTCCCTGTCAAGCACTGGTAGCAAAACCTTCTCGTCTGGGGGAGGACACAGAGGCCAGGCAGCTCCTCGGCGCAGCCGGGGTCCCCGGAGGCAGGAGGGGAAGCAAACTGGGGACTACGCTGTTTGCTCAGGTGCGTTTCCAGGGCTGCTCTTAACGAGCGGGGCACCGGATTTCTCGAACGTGGTGATGCACGGGGGCTGCATCCCGCGGGCCAGCAAGCTAATCCCTGCTCGGAGGAGCTCGGGAGCAGCGCTGCCGGCTCGGGCAGACAGATGGGCAGGGAGAGGAGGGAGCGGTACCAGCTGGAGCAGAGGGATAAGCAGCGCTCGCAGCCCACGAGCAGCCCGGCTCTTGGCAGCGCCCGCAGCGGCAGCTCGCCGGGGTGTTGCGCGTTTGGCTGAAGCTGGTCCTGCGGTGGGTTTAGCCAGGGTCTGCGCAAACAGCGCAGTGCTTTGTTTGGGTTTTTTTTTCAAAGACAACTTGGAAGACAGGAGTCTGAGGAGAGGACTGGAAAACACTGCTCCACCTACTAAAGCATCTCACGGCTCCAGGAAACGCCCTGGCACTCTGTTACCTCTTGATTAACCATCCCAACGCATCAGACCCAGCAGCGGAGCAGGAGGGAGGCAGCAGGCTGCAGGCAGCCCCATGCGTCCCCCCCGTGCAGCCAGCACGAGCTCACCACGGCGTGCGGCGCTCAGTCACGAGCTGGGTCTCCAGAGCAAGAGGCTCGGGGCTGGCACGACACCCAGCCACCATCACTGCCTGCGTGAGGAGTTTCAATTACAGATGCCTTTTTCACAAAATAAAAAGAACAAATGATTTCTTCCTCCTTCCAATATCCTGTGTGCTCCTGGCTTTGCGTTTTTAATAAAAAATGCTAGGAAGGAAGCATTCTTTTCGGAGGAGGGAGGAAGAATAGCAGATAACAAGGGAGAAGGAACAACAATTTCCCAACCAGATGCGTCATGCCAGAAAGAAAAAGAGCTCCTTCAACCCCCTGCGTGCTCCTCAGCTGGGTGCTTGCTCCCGAGTGCCTCTCGGCCCGTGGCCAGTGGGGACGCGCAGCTGGACGCCGGGGGCTGGAGCAGAGCCCCAGCCCCGC